AAGATTAATACCGCTGTAGAACCGCACGCTTATTGCGCAAATACTCTTCGAGCACTCCAAAGGCGACTTGGACCAAAGGAAATCAGACCAATGAAATGGAGGTGAATTTGAGAATTAACATGTCGCGACAATATAAATTATGATTCAATTGGATAATTATGTTGCGATTACAATATATTAAATGATGAATTTTGCATCCGCTGAAGAATATTGGGTTATCTGGCTTGAAGAATATCGATAAGGTTACACCGCGACGATATAATCTAAAAGAACTGTGCAAGAACGTTTGATAAATATCGAAAAGTAATAATAATAGAAAAATAAGCAAGAAGGATTGCCCTTTTATATAAGCGACGGGTCTTTCATCTTCACTACTTCGACATATATAAGAAATATTTGATTTATGTCTTAATTGACGTATCACAGTTGCCTTCGACGTGACTTTTTTTACTTGATCTTTACAGTTCATTGAACGGTCCGGTCCTAAACGAGCGATCGATCTTTTTTTCCCCGCCGCAATGAGACCTTTCTGAATTCTACTCATTGTCAGAGCGGAAACTAAAACTCCCGAGGGCTAATCTCCGCTCCTCGCTGTAAAGTTCTAAAAAGTTCTATTCTCGAGGCGGCAACTTTGCCGTCAGCGGCACATTCTTAGGGGGGTTAGAAAGGTTTGCACGGCGGATAAAGCGTGATCAACTAAATTATCCTCGTAATACGTATACATTCGCGCTCATAAAATCGATACTCGAGAAAATATCGCTTCGCTCGGTTACGCATTCGCAACTCGAGTTTTCACTGGCTTACGCGGCGTTTACCCGCGAGAGTTCGGCGAGTCATAAATAATACCGCAACTAACGTTGTTATTATTTAGTCTCGTGTGCAACAGTCGGTTTTTCAAGTTGGCCTCTACCGTGCATTCTCACCCTTTCATAAGCCATAAATAACATAGCGTAACCATCAAAAGTGCTATTTTATTAAACTTTTACGGCACGGCGCATCTATAAATGTTATTGTATTAATTTTTACCGGGCATATTTGGAAATTGGTTAAATTGACGAAAAGAGTTAAAGTTATCAAGTTACTTTTTTTTTGTTATGGAATACATTTCTACAAATATGACAACGTGAGACGCAATATTCAAGGAAAGTGCCCTAATATGATACGTTCCTACGCGATAGCAGGGTTTTTGTTATATTAATAGACATCATTTATTGGGTTTTTCATGATATTTACTGCTCTTGGAGTGAAATTTGCTGGAAAATTCATTGGCAGTTCATGCAATCGTTGTGAAAGAAGATTTGTAATTGAATTTGGATGTTGAAAACCTGCTGTCTCATATTAGAAGACTGTCTGAAAATAAGGGACTTTCCTTTAATTATTATTGAGCAAATTTTGGAAATAAAAACGCGTACAAGCGTAGAATAACTAATGGAAATCTCGTTGCCCTTACTTTTCTGCTCATATACATAACTCTTGTTAATATTGTGACGCTTGTACGACATTTTGCTTCTCCTTATGTTTTGTTTTTGCAAACACGCAAGTTGACATATTTGAATTCGAAATTTCTAAATTGTTCTACTAGCTTGAGGCGCGTTGAGAGACATTGTCTCACAATGTCTGAAATTACTTCTTGTTATCTTCCTGCGTGAAACAAGACGTGACGAGAACGTGTTCATCATATTTAAATAAAAAGCAATTGGTCACATAAGCAGTAACGCAATATTACGTGCTTAACATTGTTAATTCATACTTTGCATAGCTTAAGCGCAAATACGAGATTTGCGGCAAGAATAGCCAAGTCATACGGAGGAGCATCATTGTTATGCGAGCAACTAAGGGGATCATAAATTATTAATGAGATTGTTTCATTCTTTTTCGTGGTTTTCCCCGTGGATGTATTATAGCGAGCGGATATGGTAAGTGCAGTTTACCTAATTCCGCCGCGGATTAATTCCCGAGATGTTGCGTGAATAAACAACAAAACCGGCGCGATTTAAATGCTTTGCGCAGCTGCCAATATCAATATCAAGCTGTCATTTACCACAACTGTGCACAGCAAAGGTGCACACCACGTGGATTCACGAGATACGTACTTGACTCATTTTCCAAACTTTACACAAGTGTGCGCTATACCACCGTCACATATATTTTATGGTACGCCGTCTTTGAAAACAATATAAAAATTTATCGCCTGTAATTTTACCGGCTCTCTTTAACAATTTCAGTCGCTAATTAAATTTGTCCATAAACAAGCGGGCGAAAAAATTCCATACCCCTTTCTTTCGCTCGCTTATTACGGCGCGTAGTGCAGATAGTTTCAACGAATTTAAAATAATATTAAATCAGCGTACATTTTTGCATCGATTCGGACGTCTTGGGGCCTGAGCAGAAAGATTGTCGTAAGTGTTTACGATTCCGTAGCAAGACGCAAGTCGTTATCGAAAACCGCTGATCAAAATCTTGTACACCAATGCCCATTAATGCCCAGTGGGCATTATTTTATCTTATTTATCTTGTTTTATATTATTTTATCTTATTTTATCTTTATAATGCCTCAGCAAAGCATTAATGCACCTAATGCCCAAACTAATGTTAAAAAAATGCCTAGTAATGCCCAGTAATGCCGCAAATCTGCACACCACAATGCCTTCAGTGGTTTCCTCCTCAGAATTGTCGTAGACGTATGTCGCCTCGCAATGCGACGAATGTGACATATGTCTACGAAAATTCTTTGTGCGTTAAATTGCGACACCGACGCAAGCCTTACGACAGAATCGTAAACGGTTACAATCTTTCAGGCTCTTACTAAAAAATTGAAAACATACTTACGCAAAATGCGACGATGGCGAAAGTGAGTAACTTCAATGCCGTCGATTTTGCGGCTTTGCGGTTTATCAATCTACGCTCGCGAAAAAGATGCAAACGTATGCGAATTAATCATCATAATTCATATTCCTCGTACATTTTTATGACCGACGTATGCATCAGTTTAGTCCGGTCACGCGCGAATTTAAGAGTCGTTCCTCTTGAAAACGTCCGTATATTCTCTTCCTCTCGAGGAGAATGACTCGTTCGCACGCTAAGAAAGCTCAACGTGAAACTAATAATGGCTTATCGACACGGAGCGACGGTTATTTGTTGTTACGGCTCTAACAGCCGCCGCTAATAAGTCATTGATGCAACTGTCACCGCCAATAATTTGGGCGCGCTAATGTAGCAGTTCGGGGCAGTAATCCATTTACGCAAATTTGCGATACTA